ATAATTATTAATTATTAAATATTAAATAATAAAATTATATATTTATATTACATACCCTGCACACAACAATCCATCCACTCGTCCGTGAGTGGGTCCGACTCATTTTCTAGTGCTTTGCGCATTTCCCTGACGAGCCTCCTGGGTCGTCGTACGTCCGGCAGTTGGGGAACTGCTTGAAGAACTCGTTCGAGAGGTGGTTTCCGTAAATGACAATTTTGTCCATTGCCAGTGCCTCAATAATTTGTTCCCTTGAAATTTGATTACATCTTTTCGATGTTTTAAATTATTTTACACAACTACTTTGATGTTATTAACAAAAATGGACCGTTAATTCACATAAATTGAGGTTAAGGGACTACATTTTTTGGTTTTTAGGACTAAAATTGGGCACCAAAACATAATATGGACTATATTTTTTTTATTTTTAGGACTAAAATTGAGCACGAAAACATAATAGGGACTATATTTATTTGTTTTAAGGACTAAAATTGGGCACGAAAACATAATAGGGACTACATTTTTTGTTTTAAGGACTAAAATTGGGCACCAAAACATAATAGGGACTACATTTTTTGTTTTAAGGACTAAAATTGGGCACCAAAACATAATAGGGACTACATTTTTTTATTTTAAGGACTAAAATTAGGCAGCAAAAAATAATGGGGACTCAGTTTGGATACCCCTAGAGGACGAAAAGTGGACTTTGTCCAAAAATAAAAGAGGAAAACTTTGAAAAGGTGTGTAATAATAGTTGACTCTTGAGCCAGTGGGGATCTCCTTCATCTTTCCCAAAATCTCTACTGTTATCCTATAAAAAGGTAAAAACCCTATCATTTTTAAAGCTTGATGAGTTTATTTCAGCTGCAGATAAAAACAGATTATTTCTATTTCTTCTTCTTCTTCTTCTTCCTCCTTTTTGTTTTTATTTTCAAGAAAACAAACTCAAATTATCTGGCGACCACTACCATTGTGAAGGGTCCAGTTTCCGGTGGCAGCCCACCTCTGGATCCCACTTTTTTTTTTTTTTTTTTTTTTTNNTTTCTGTAATCCATCTTTTGAGGGTTTTCATTTGCCCTTGATTTTTGTCCTGGTTTGAATTGTTCAATTATTCAGTGAGCTGTGTTTGCATTTGTTGAGTAGCTAAGCATTTTCCGGCTGATTGATTTGCCAATCAGTTTCTGGGTTGGTGATTTGTTGATGGGATCGAAGCCATGGCTTTACCTGGCTCCGGCCTACCGACCTCTGGAGAGCTATTGGGACGGCGACGACGACGCGCCGGGGCCGCGATGCGGCCACACACTCACCGCCGTCTCCGCCACTAAAAGCCATGGCCCCCGCCTCATTCTGTTCGGCGGCGCCACCGCCATTGAGGGAGGCAACGGCGGAGCTCCCGGCATTCGTAATCATTCTCTCTCTCTCTCTTTTGTTATTTGATGTACTCATGTTTATTTCTTTTAAGTCCTTTTGATGTACTTTTTGATTCTTCTTATCCTTAGGGCTAGCTGGAGTGACAAATTCTATCCATTCATATGATGTTCTCACCAGAAAATGGACGAGGTTAGGTTTTTATATTATTTTTATCTTCGTTTGTGGTTTTGAGTTGATGTTGGCATGCATATTTGCTGTTTTAGTTCGAGTCTGTGAGATTTTCTGTAGAGTAAATGGTTGTTACTTGTGATATTATTAGACTTCGACCAGCTGGTGAGCCGCCATCACCTAGGGCTGCACATGCTGCGGCAACTGTCGGCACCATGGTTGTGTTTCAGGTAATTATAGAAAATAAACACATTTTTCATAAATTTCTGAAATAAAAAATGAAAATCTTAGGAAATTAAATTGGATTGCCCCTATCGTGTATTTGACAGGGTGGGATAGGTCCTGCAGGGCATTCGACAGATGATTTATACGTGCTTGACTTGACAAATGATAAGTTCAAGTGGCACCGGTTAGTTCTTTTGATACATTATTGCATAATCCCATCTTGGATATTGTAGAATTAGTTTTCTTATTTTTTGACTTGGTTGACTCTTTGTTTGACTCAGAGTTGTTGTTCAAGGACAGGGTCCAGGGCCTAGATATGGCCATGTCATGGACTTGGTTGCTCAACGTTATCTTGTTACTGTGAGTGGCAATGATGGTGAGTGCAGGCATGTACTATATATCAGATTATTTCTATAATATTTGATAAGTGAGGTTAAGTGAATCCTGAAAATTAGGTAATGAATTATTATGAAATGCTTTAATTAGGTGTTTTCTGAAAGTGGGTGCTGGAGGTGTTATAAATGGCTGTATCTTTTGTATTTACTATGTACAAGTGCCAAATTCATGCAACTCAGTGAATGCCTCATATTTGATTGCATAGATGGAATTAATCTTATCAGCCTTTTGATATTGAACTGTGTCTACTTTAAGATTAGATTTCTGGTACTTGGTGTTTTTTTATATTGTTTGTGGTAAGACTTCACATGTAATTGTCCTAGAATTCTCAGTGGATCTCTTAATAACTAAAATTCTGGATCCCCCATAGCTGAAGTCTGCACGATAGTGCAGTGGAATCGCAATCTCGAGTCATGAAAGACTTGCATTTTGGGTATAATCGGTTGATGCTTGGATATTTCACAAGGGAAAGCATGTGGATAGTTGTTATGATATTTTTGTAACTTCATTTCTTGTTTCTTGTTATGCTGGCTTGTTTAGAGAACTCTTTTCGGTTGCTTATGCTGGACATTTTTTGCTATTCCCATTGAACGGTCTTTTACAATCTCTTTATATTCAGTGGATCTGATGCTTATTATTTAATATAGTGTATGAGAACCACTTGCTTCTACAGGTAAAAGAGTGCTGTCAGATGCTTGGGTTTTAGACACTGCACAGAAACCATATGTGTGGCAGAGGCTTAATCCGGAAGGTGATAGACCTTCTGCTAGAATGTAAGTGTATGTTCTTTGCAATTTATGGTTTCCTATCAACTTTGATTTTTTTATTTTTTATTTTTTTTTATGACTCAATATTGGTTAAAAAAGATTATGAACCCCCATGTGCATAGTTTTCATATAGTTCTATTTTTGCTTTTAGTTGATGTGGAAATATTATTATGATTGCAAAGATGAAGTGCTTGCGATAATTGTTACATTTCTTTTCATGTGTGTGATTTTTCTTTTCGGAGATGAAAAGAACTTACAGTGCTAATGGACAAACTTCTTTGATTCATTTTTTACTTTTCATTCTTTGGTATATAGATGATTGGAGGTATAATTAACAATTGAATGGAAAATTTTTGTAGGTATGCGACGGCTAGTGCCCGGTCAGATGGCATGTTTTTGCTCTGTGGCGGAAGAGATGCTTCAGGCACGGTACGGCATTTTGAGCTACTATACCTAAGAAAAGTGGAAAATGAAACTTGCATCTTTGAAATTGAAGCATCTCTTGCTGGCGATGCATTTACTTTTTCCTGTTGAAACTTCCTGTTGATATGAGAGTGAAATATTCACTCACTCGGATGATGATAGTTTAACCGAACAATTTGTTGTATTTTGACCTATACAGCCACTAGCAGATGCTTATGGACTACTTATGCATCGCAATGGACAGTGGGAGTGGACTCTTGCACCAGGAGTGTCTCCTTCGTCAAGGTATCAACATGCTGCGGTAAGTAGTATATTTATGGAACTTTATGTCAATTTTTTTTTTTTTTACCTTAATCTTTACTGTTCGAGATGCTGCTTCTCTCAAATTTAAATGATACGTTGCCATAATGGACCAAGGCCATTTTTCTGATTATGAGAAGCTTGACGTTTTCTTGATCTGATTAGTATTAGTTGTGCCCGTGAGTGTTGATTTTTGCATGTAATGCACAAAGGGTGTCTTTTTGTGCATGGGTGTTTTTCTTGTCCAATTTCTTTTCCCAACCCCAAATTAATTTTATGGCTTAAAGCCCTTTTTTTTTTCTTTTGCTTCTGGGCGACGTGATTTACCTTTTGCATATCATAAACTGCAATTAGATCTGTCCTCTTTGTATAGTTTCCTCTTGAATGATCAGGAATGTTGCCTTTTATCAGGTTTTTGTCGGTGCTAGATTGCATGTAACTGGCGGTGCTCTTAGAGGTGGAAGAGCAGTAGAAGCTGATGCTGCAGTTGCAGGTAACAATTTTGAGTTGTATGCTTGGATACAAAATTGCTCAAAAAAATCCATTTATTTTTAACTCAATCAACTTTTTTAACCCAAAACTTACTCGACTACCCCACTATCATCAATATTATCAATATAATTAAATAATACCAATCAATCATTCTTTCACAATACATCAACTTTAATTCACTATTCAGCAGTTCACATAATTGTAATTAACCATCATTTCACATCATCTCTCTCCTACCTTTACATGAAATCAACTTTAATTATTTTATTTTAAATATTATTTTAATATACACTCAAAATCCCACTAAGAACTAACCAAAATCCCACCTTTTGCGAAATTAACCAAACAAAACCAAAAAATCATATATCCAAACATCATGAGTTGAATATTTTTGGACTTCATCAAATGAATAATATCCCTTACATCTCTACTTCTGTTTCTCTTTAAAGTGCTGGACACTGCAGCCGGAGTTTGGCTCGACAGAAATGGGCTGGTGACATCACGAGTAAATAAAGGACATAGTGACTCAGATCCCTTTTTGGAGTCTATGCGTCGATGTCGCCATGCAGCCGCTTCTGTGGGTGTTCGAATATATATTTATGGTGGACTTAAAGGAGGTGAGGTTTTCTGTTACAGAAAAGGATTGACTTTCCTTTTTAGCATTTATAGCTTGTGCTTTTGGAAATTGTAATTCATGAAGTTACATGTTTGGTTGTATTCCTAGTAGTGATCTGCTCGTGTAGTCGTATTGCTTATACACGCAAAACTGCAGCCATGAAAAAACCATGAAAAGTCTGTTTATTTCGACCGAGTAGAAATTTCAAACGGTTCAAAATTCTGAGAAGTGCACCTTGAATTTGAAACTAACCATGGCAGTTTTTGGACTGCGCAAATTTAAGCGGTAATTTGCTTTGATTTTGAAGTGAGTACTTCATATGTTATTAAAAGCTTTTGAATCCAACTTTAAAGCTCGAGTGCCCAACTTAGTATAGGAATTGAGATACTTTCAATTTGTGAGCATGGCGAAAAATGATCTTTAGTAAGTACTACTGGCTGCAATTATTCTTTTACAATTGCTTATGTGAACTCGGTTATTACTTGCAAATTGAAAACTGATTGTATTTGCTTAATTCCATAAGATATCCGGTTTTGTTTTGCAGATATGCTGTTAGATGATTTTCTGGTAGCCGAAAACTCTCAATTTCAATCTGATATCAGTTCCCCTGTATCACCATCAGAGAGATCATTTGCACCTTCAAGTCCAAGAGCAAACAGTGCTGCTAATTTAAGTCCATTTTCCCCCATATCATCAACCCCAGACGACAGATCTGAAACACCCTCTGGTTTTCTTGGGTCTGTTCATAAGTCTCCTTAATTCTTTGAAAGTCTGTATGGTGTGCCTCAAGCATTTTTACCTAAAAATTGATTTTGGGTTCATGCAGTATGGACAAAAATTCTATGGAGAAACTGGCTGAGGCATCGGCTGCTGAGGCCGAGGTTGCTAATGCCGTCTGGCAATCGGCGCAGGCGGCTTCAGCCACTGTTGAGGAAACATCCTTATCAGATGCAAATTCGCAATCTGCTGAGACCACGATGTCCGATTATAGTGATTCAGAGGGAGATGTTCGGCTTCACCCTAGAGCGGTAAATTTCTCTTAAAAAAAAAAAATTGTTTGTGGGTTTTTGTTTATATTGCAGTTTTGCAAGTGTATATTTGTTTTTTTTTTAAAAAAAATAAGATTCCTTTCTTTTTTACCTTCTTTGTATTTGCAGGTAGTTGTTGCAAAAGAAGCTGTTGGTAACTTGGGAGGAATGGTTAGACAGTTATCCCTGGATCAATTTGAAAACGAGAGTAGAAGGATGATTCCATCACATAATGACTATTCGAATCCTACTAAAAAGTTTACGAGGCAAAGATCTCCTCAAGGCTTGCATAAAAAGGCAAGTGTCACCAGAGTGCAATATAAGTTGAAAAAAAAAAATTTATTTTATTATCAATTAAGAATAACTCGTTATTATTATTTGCTGTCCGTTTAGACATTTGATTATTGTTTGTCTTGCAGGTTATATCGACTTTGCTGAGGCCTCGAAACTGGAGGCCTCCTTTCAACAGAAAGTTTTTCCTCGACTCTTATGAGGTTGGCGAGCTTTGTTATGCTGCCGAGCAGATTTTCATGCAGGAGCCGACTGTTCTTCAGCTGAAAGCTCCTGTTAAGGTTTTTGGAGATCTTCATGGACAGTTTGGGGATTTAATGCGATTGTTTGATGAATATGGGTTTCCGTCCACTGCGGGAGACATAACGTGAGTTGTTATTGTTTGTGAATCTTGTTTATCAATCTTGTTTTCTCTAGTGTTGTAGGAGAAAATATGTTATTGAAAAAAAAAAATATTTTTATTGAAAATATGTCTCAACTCTTATCATTGTTTTATTGTCCGTAGCCTATTGCCTTTTTCCGAACAACGTTTTTATTTTTTTCCAGTTATATTGACTACCTGTTTCTGGGAGATTATGTTGATCGTGGACAGCACAGCTTGGAGACTATAACTTTGCTCCTTGCTCTTAAGGCAAGTTTCCGTTTTGATAAGTGGGACCCACACACGCACTTACACATGCGCATATTACTAAATCGCCCTTACCGTTACTCTCTGTGGATGTAGATCGAGTATCCAGAAAATGTCCACTTAATACGTGGGAACCATGAAGCTGCTGACATCAATGCACTTTTTGGTTTTCGCATTGAATGTATCGAGAGAATGGTACTCTCATTGCAAATTTTTCTTTTCTTTTTTTTTTTTGATAAAAATACTGTCGTTCGGAATTATGAATTGAAATATGTAAAGGAATAACAAATAGAAATGGCTGATTTCTTTTCCTCCGTGTTTTCTTTTTTTCCCATTTTTTTCCCCTTTGTGTTTGAATGCATCCTTTTTACTCTTCTGAGTGCTGATGAAGATACTCATGCAGGGAGAAAATGATGGAATATGGGCTTGGACACGTTTCAATCAGTTGTTTAATTATCTCCCGCTTGCAGCATTGATAGAGAAGAAGATCATCTGCATGCACGGTGGCATCGGGAGGTCTATCAATTCAGTAGAACAAATAGAGAAACTCGAGAGACCCATAACAATGGATGCTGGATCAATTGTGCTAATGGATTTGTTATGGTATTACTATATATAGTCCAGAAATTCTATGGTGCCACATGTGGCACGTGTTATGGTGCCACATGTGGCACCATAGAATTTCTGATATATAGTCGCTTTGCGTGCTTTAATTTTGCTCGTATGGCATTCCTTAAGCATTTTTTGTATTTCTACCTTAGGTCCGATCCCACTGAAAATGATAGCGTAGAAGGCTTGAGGCCAAATGCAAGAGGACCTGGCCTCGTGACTTTTGGGGTATGTAGTGCGCATTTCATCTTTCACAGTACTTTTTATTAAATGTGTTGAATTTTATGCTTGAAAATGGCTGCAGTGTACTTGCCCCTTTTTTAATTATTTCCTCGAGTCGAGCGAAATGATCTGTCAATCCCGTGGCATGTCCTCTGCTGTTCTTTTTTTATTTTGTTTTTTTCTTTTTCTTTTCAGTCAGATAATAGAGCACTGAATTTAGAAAGTGGTTGTTGTTGTATTGATTGCATTAGATAGCGATTTGGTACAGAACTTTTCCATAAAAATATTTTTGGCATATTCTTCTGTGAACACATAATTCCCTAGTATAAGGCATATTCTTCTGTGAACACATAATCCCTAGTATAAAAATGTTTTGAATCGGACCTTACGCTTAGACCGTGACTGGCTACTAAACATCCACTATTTTTGTCACATTCATCAACAATCATTATTTTACTGTTTTTGTCACATTTTTCAATCACAAAAGAATTTCATTATTCCTCGAACATCTTTCTCCCCACTTTCTTCATCACTGGTCACTGGACAAACATTTTTTTTTCAAAAGTTTCCTTATCGAGGAAAAGTAGCTGTACCCTCTTTCTATACACAGTTGAATCTGAAAATCTTTCACTTGCATAGAATATTTCCATGAATGAACTTATGTATGCATGGAAAGTCCTAAAACTTTTGTTAGTTGGAGTTTTACTTTTTTTTTTTTTAATACCTGCCGTTTTGATGCTTGGTTTACTCGATTAATTGACTGCAGCCTGATAGAGTTACAGACTTCTGTAAGAGGAACAAGTTGCAACTCATCGTGAGAGCTCATGAGTGTGTCATGGATGGATTCGAACGGTTTGCTCAAGGGCAGCTGATCACCCTTTTCTCAGCAACCAACTATTGTGGTATGCACTCAAAAAGTCTAAAATTCATCACTCTTATCTTTTTTTTTTTCTTTATTCTTTTCGTCTCGTAGAATAAAAAAATAAATTGATTAATAAGTTAATGTGATTTTCATCAAGGGACGGCAAACAATGCTGGGGCAATATTGGTTGTTGGCAGAGGATTGGTCATTGTGCCTAAATTGATTCATCCCCTTCCACCTCCTATTCAGTCCCCCGAGACGTCCCCTGAACGCGTGAATGAGGAGACCTGGATGCAGGTACATTATGCATTGTGTTAAGTACCCTTGAGAATTACTCTAGAAAAACAAATGAGAGTACTGGTCTTTTCAAAATTGTGCTTGATAGAGATCACATGGAATAGGGCATATAAATCATGGAAAGTATTTTGAAGAATAAATAAAGAGATCCTATAACAATGATCTTCAAAAGACGACCAATTCAGATCCCAAAATCACAACACAATCTATATACTTGTTCTTCAAAATACTTTCCATGATTTATGCCTTACTCCTTCGATTTTATCCATTTTACATATTGGAGTTCATTGACGCTAGCTAAAACTGTATCTCAAAATTATGGATGGTCCATAATTTTACCTACATAGACTATATCCTTTCTTGCTATTTATGGTTGGATTCATATATCTATTGTAGGAACTTAACATTCAAAGACCTCCAACTCCAACGAGGGGTCGCCCACAACCCGAACTTGACCGAAATTCACTTGCCTATATATGATGATATGCTTCTTCCAAAAATGATGTCTTAATCGGGCAAGAGTTCGATTTGTTGGTGTACATAAGATGACCTGTTTTTGTTTTATGCATAAGAATTACAGAATAATTCTACATGTACAGTTAGTTTATATTAGATTATATAGCGATTTATTTGTCTGTCATTTGTGTAGGGTCAGCGTTAAGATGAATGAAACAGAATTGTTTAGCAGAAACTTGTATGAATAGAATTGTATTGCAATTGCATATTTCATATGTTGTGTGTGTAAAGAGTAGAGACAATAGTTGTAGGCTTGTCTTTTAGAGTTTTGAAGACTTGAAAATAAGGTAGTTTTGTTTACGGCACTTTAACATTGGGTTCTCTATGAAACACGTATACTGATACGGATGTACCATATTTTGCCATTATTTAATGACATGATTATTATTTAAAGTGATGTACTTATAATTTTGGGAGATTTTACGGTCCCGTTACGGAACTATTCCGTCGGGATCTATAACCGTTAGATCAATTGTAACACCCTCCTTAAAATATCAGAGTGCGTTTTTCGCAAAACTTTTCTTAATAACACATATTTATTTGCGAAATCCTTTTCGGGATGCTACTAAAAACCATTCATTGCTTAAGAAATCCGTTACCATTATTAAATTTAACCTTGAAGAATAAACGGATTAATTTAGATCAACTGGCATGTAATACTTTATAA